TTTTTTTGAGTTCTTAAACTTAGATAACTGTAATACTACCGAGTTGATTTTCCCAGTCCTATAAGTAACATATAGGGAGGCCATAAAGTTCCTGTGCAATTTAAAATAGTCTACAATTTAAAATTGCACACAAATTTTATGGCCACCTTATATAGTCTCCTGATTCCAGAATTACATATATTCAAGATTTTTAATTCCTAAGTTATTTTCATTTATGTGAGTGATAGGTGTGTGTGTGACATATGTATGTTACATATATATATATATAACTATGATTTGAGATTTATAAACACTAAAAATTTCTAATTCCCAAAGCTTTATAACAGCCAGATGTCATTCCAGTAGGACCTGGGAGCAGAATGCCAACTTTGAGCTCATATGCTATTTTATTGAAAGAGAATTAGGCATTTTTTTATGCAAAATCTTAAGGAAGATAACACAGTACAAAGTAAATATTTACTTTTTAAATTTTCTTTAATAATTTAGGAACTTGTGTACAGCAGCTGAAGCTAGTAACCACAAAACTATTATTTGAAGAATATCATGTGATTGCTAATGAATTTGTGGTAGTGGCTCTCCCAGTTATAGCAATGGGACTTGCTATTACCTGTCCCACACTGAACATTATTGCCATTTGACGTATGCAGAATTATGCATGGGAACTTATAAATATAAACAGGTAAACTAGCCAAGTAACTTATCTTCAATAAGATAAATTTCCCCTGGGAATTTGAACTTATAAAATATTTATTTTATGAGTTGTAAGATACCTCAGTTTAAAATTGTGTTTAAGAGGAGAAACTATGGAGTCTGACTGTTTGGACTTGAACCCTGACTTTACCCAGGTGACAAGTTATTTACTTGGTTATTTTACCTCTTGCAAATTTCAGTTTTCTCATCTGTGAAATGTGCATGGTGTATCTGCCTGGCTTACATTATGATAGCAAAGAACTTGTGGCTTGTGTGACAGCTTTTGTGTTGGACAAAAATAATTTTCTTTTCTAAAAATTATTTTTTTAATAGACGGAGTAAATACAGTAAAGCAAAACAGGAAGCGGATGAAGAGAAACATTTGAATCAAGGTACAGATAATTGGATTAAAGATAATTTTATTTTTAGAGTATGTCTCATGAGATTTTCTAGGGTAGAAAGCTCTAGATAACACTAATGTGGCTATTCATGTTATTTTGTATATTCCTTATTCAAAGCATGTATTTTAAGGGTATCAGACTGAAATGGGTGAATCAGGATTATTTCGAATGAGATTAAAGATGGGGTATGAGTAAGGGAATTCCTTCAAATTCTTCCTTTCCATTATTTTATCTTCCACCCTGAAAAATCACTGATCTAGCAGGCTTATTCGTATAGCTAGATAGCAAGATTTAACAGGGAATTTTTTTGCATATAAGCTAAAAATTTACAAGGAGGTAAAAAATAAGAAATTGATCCATAAAGAATGTCTGTATATGGTATAGAATTTGTGACTATCAATAATTTTTTAGTGGATTCTAGTTACTTGGGTATTTCAAATAGGTTCAAAGAATAAATTCAAGGTGACTCTAGAATGCTTTAAGCAAGACAGATGACTTAGAAATGGACAGTGTTGATGACTCCACAGACGTGCTGTCCAATAGGACCTTCAGAGACGATGAGATTGGCCTATATCGTCACTGTCCAATACATTAGCCAATAACTATATGTGCTGTTGACTACTTGAAAAGCAGCTAATGTGAACCAGGAATTGGTTCTTCAATTTAATTTAATTTTAACTTATTTGCATTAAAATAGACACATGCTGCTAGTCACTGGCCTGTTAGTGCCGAGAAGTGGAAGGAAGGCAGTGACTAAGAGTAACAAGAGCTATCTTTTTTTCTTTTTTTGAGACAGAGGCTTACTTTGTCACCCTCAGGTAGAGTACCCTGGAGTCATAGCTCACAGCAGTCTCAAACTCTTGGGCTTAAGAGATTCTCTTGCCTCAGCCTCCCTAGTGGCTTTAACTACAGGTACCCACCACAATGCCTAGCTATTTTTAGAGATGGGGTCCTGCTTTTGCTCAGGCTCATCTCAAACTCATGAGCTCAAGCAATCCACCTGCCTCGGCCTCCCAGAGGACTGGGATTGCAAGCATGAGCCACCACACCTAGCAACAAGAGCTATCTTGAGAAAGATTTTCTTGGCTAGAGCATATAGATGGATGAGGGATATGCAATGTCGGACAGTTTTCCATTTGTCCACCTTCCCTCCTTTCATGTGTATACTTTAAAAAGTTTTCACATGGTACATGCATTTAAGAGCAAAAATAATATATTAAAAAGAAATAGCAAGAAAAATCCGGGTTTAAATGGGTTATTCCTAAAAGCAGAGACTGAGATAAGGACAGCACTGATAGGCTTGGGAAATTAAAGGATTGGACCAATTGGTGTCCTACATTCCTGCTGTGTCCCACTGCCCCCTAGGGAGAGGTACAAATGCAGGAGAAAACTCTGATCATAGCTTCTTCCTTTTGGCTCAAATGCCCCTCACTGGGCTGCCTCTGAACTCCATTCTGAATGTAGTTTATAAGTGAATGTGAGGTCTGTCTACATTATACTCCTAGTATCCAAACCATTCACAATTAGGTTACAACAGGTACCTCCTCTGAACCTTACAGGGGAACTTGGATAGCTTTGCTTACAATACGTTCTTTCCAAAATAGAATAGCATCTGGGAGACCGAGGCAGGTGGATTGCCTGACCTCACAAGTTCAAGACCGGCCTAAGCTAGAGCCAGAGTGAGACCTCATCTCTAAAAAAAGAATAGAAAAGAAAAAATAAGTGGGTTTTGTGGTGGACGTCTGTAGTCCCAGCTACTTGGGAGGCTGAGGCAAGAGAATCACATAAGCCCAGGAGTTTGAGATTACTGTGAGCTGTGACAACTTGGCACTCTACTGGAGATGACAAAGTGAGACTCTGTCCCCCCCCCCCCAAAAAAGAAGAAGAAGAATAGAAGTGGAGGTCTGATAAAGAGTCTATATTTCCGAATCAACTAGCTGATATTACCTCTCTTGTCTATAATAATCTTGTTTTAATCACATTTTTTAATTCAATCACATATTTAATTATCATAGCTATCAGACAAAATGTGACATCACCTAGGTGGGGCCAACTGAAAAAAAAACAAAAAATAGTTGCTATTATCTTCCTTCTGGAAGGAGAGCTGAAAGTGGTGGGTTAGACTCAGTGGAGGGCCAGAGGAGGAGCAACAGCTTAGGACAATGGGATTCAGCTGACACGTCCCAAATTTCCTTCCAGAGACTCTGTTTTCCTCCATAGGATGGGTTGTTTTTAAAATCTAGTCCTTGAAATGTGAAGACTTTCCAAGAAGCCATAGCTGCAGCCTCCTAAGTAACTAATTCTTTGTTTACCCACTAATGAAAACCAGAGTGAGAATTTATCCATTTTTGTATGTCAAGACTGTGCAGCTAACCCAACTTTTCTGATGTTAAGCATTTTTTAGACCAGATGACTTATGTTTATTAGTGGTTCCTGAGAAGTGTTCAGCCAGCCTATTTTTTTTTTTTTTTGTTATTACTCAGGCGTTAGAACTTACGTGGATCCTTTTACATATGAAGATCCCAACCAAGCAGTCCGAGAATTTGCCAAAGAAATTGATGCATCCTGCATTAAGATCGAAAAAGTTATAGGAGTTGGTAAGTATCTGATTGTGTGCAAATGAGTCTATTTCTGGGTACATATTAAATATGTGCATGCGGATTGTTTAAATATGTATGTGTCTGGGTATATGTATAGACATAAATATCTGTATTTGTGAAATTTCTTTATTAGAAGTATAAAATGTGCTGTGCTATAAAGCTCTCTGGTACAAAATTTGGTCTTATTCTTAGGAGAACACTTAGTTGATAAGAATGTGTAAACTGAAGTCAGATTGGTTGCATTGAAAATGTTCACTCTACTTCTTACTCTAAGACATTGGGCAGGTTTCTTTATTAAGCCTTAATTGTCTGTGATGGAATGGAGCTAAAGACAGCATCTCTCAGGGTTGTGGGAAGGATGAAGTGAAATAATCCATGGAAAGCACTGGCACACTGCCTGGCATGTGCCAAGCACTCAGCAAATGCTAGCTATTACTCTTTCTTCTTCAATGTATTTCTGGTCCATTGTAGATTTCTTTTCTCTCCCACAGGTGAATTTGGTGAAGTGTGCAGTGGGCGTCTCAAAGTGCCTGGCAAGAGAGAGATCTGTGTGGCCATCAAGACTCTGAAAGCTGGTTATACAGACAAACAGAGGAGGGACTTCCTGAGTGAAGCCAGCATCATGGGACAGTTTGATCACCCAAACATCATTCACTTGGAAGGTGTCGTCACAAAATGTACGTGGCTCACTCCCTTTACAAAGCCAAGTTAGAAGTGACTGGGAAATTAAACACACATTTTCTTTCCAGGGAAATGACAGATGGAGCAGACCCACTGATTGCTAATAGGAGGAAATGAGTGCGGGACAAGCCATTAATCTTGCCGTCAGCTCTAAATGGTCTATGGTTTCGGCTGATACCCTATCTCCAAGGCAGCTTGTGTGAGATTTTAGGGAAATTAATATTGCAGATTTTTTGGTATGCCATGCCATCTTTCAAATCTTTGCTAGGCCAAACTGACTGTCACAGGGTAGGCACAAGCAGATGGTAGGCAAAATAAAATTTAAGTACTTTTCATATAAAGCAGAAGAAAGCCTCTGCGCACCTCATGCTGGAAACTTCAATTCCACATGCAGGGAGTGGATCTTGGGAATCTTTATTATTTGGGGGGATTTGCTTGTCTGCTCTGCCTAATTTATGGCTGTTGCAGTTTGGCACCTATTTACAGTAACACCTGGTTGAACTTTCCCTTCTTTAGTCCATTAGCATTCACTGTGCCTGTGAACCATGCTTCAGTTAAAATACGACACAGCTCAACAGATGCGTTTGGTGAAGCAAACCCTGACTACTTCTGTAAAGGCTGGCAAAGCCCAACTTACAAAATGCCACACAGACAGTGCATGCAGCTGAAGCCGGCACTGTTTAAGGTGGCTCTGTTCCAGAAGCCCTAGTACCTGGGACAGTTACTACAAGGCAGGGATCTTGTAAGCCTGGGGCTATGTCTGCTGGAAGGCCAAGGCCTCTCTTATTTGATCCGAGGTGTCTGTGCAAAGTGTCTTTACTCAACAGGTGCAGAGTGGTGTGAATGTGGCTCCTCCAGTGGGTGAGGTGGTGGCGAGGGGGTGGGTAGGTTAAAGAGGAAAATGAAGACATGAGGTCTACACAGAGGACTAGTAGAACCCAACGTACAAAATCTTTAGGAGGAGGTTCCTAAAAAGTGAGTGGAAGTTTACTCTACAGGTCCTTAAACTTCCATGTACATAACGAATCTTAAGGACAACTTGTTAAGAGGGTTTTCTGGACCCATGAGTTAGCATTTCTAAAGGGCTCACTACAGGGGAATCCAAAGTGCTGCAAGCCCTGGGGTCCTAGTTTAGAACCTTTGGCCTAGGGCTGCAGGAGCTGCCTATCTGCTCTACTGCTGCTAAAGCGGGTGACCTTCATCAGTGGCTCAACCTTTCTGGTTCAGTTTTCTCATCTGTAAAAAGGAGATTAAAAGTAGAACTTGCCTTATAAGGTTATTTTGGAATGAAATGAAATATTTAGTGTGGTTAGCATAATAGCCAACTTAAAAAGAAAGAAAAAAGCCTCTTAAGTGTTAACTGACGTTATTACGTCTTAAGAGGTGCATCTTTCTCCATCTTCAGAATCTCTCAAAAAGGAACCTCGATGCTAAGGATGTATAATTTTCTGCCTAAGGTGAAGGCTATAATTAGCATAGAATAGCTCTATTTGCTTTTCAAGATTGGTTTTACAGACAGGATATTTTTCTGTTGCCTATGGCCTTCAGGGCTGCCCAGAGCCCTTCACTACTTTAATTAAAAGATAACATTCCGTTTAAACACTTTCGCAGGTCCATTTTCTAAAAAGGAGGCTCTGTTCAGCTCAGGGTGTTTTTCCTGCCGCAGACAGTGATTTTCATAGCACCTCTCCAGAAGAGAGAAGAAACAGGGGATCTTTGTATTAAAGTCCCACCGCGCCTCTAAAACCCATAGCTATTACAGCTGTAACTGTTATAAACGACTGGATGCATTTGCATAATGCAGTTGTCACTGAATTAAAATGATTTAACATTTCCACTGGAGCAGATCCCCTTCCCCCACCACTCCCTCCCGGCTGCATCCCCGCCTGTTGCAGGGAAGGAACCCCCTCCACCCATGGGCCCAGCCCAGGCTCATTTTATAAGCCCCTCTGCTTACAGAGGCATTCATCTTTACTCCTCTAGTAGAGCTCATAAAGATTCTGACAAATGGCTACTTTTCATAAACAGCAAAAAAGGAATGCAGACAGGTTGTGAAGATGGTGCCAGGAGAGGACCAGGGAGGTGCGAGGGTGAAAGGGTAGAATGGAAGAGTGTGAATTCATTACCAGCAGTTACTTGAGTGACTTTTCAAAATTGACAAGAGGACCATAAATTCTCCGCACTGCCCCATCTCTTTTAGATCCTCCCTTCTCTTCTCCACCATTCCAGAAGCGTCTGGTGAAAGGAAAGTAGGTGTTAATGCACCTCCAAGAGAGACCGCCCTTTTTCTCATTAGTTGACAAAGGATCTTTTGATTGAGGCAGGTTGATTAAAACTCATGTAAATGTATTTGTTCTGTTCGAAGACTGTGGTGGCAGATGCAGAGTGTAAATGAATCTGAGAACTGGGCAGCTTCCCATTTGCAGTGATGATGGAAGGTGGAAAGACGCGCAGGGTTCACCCCCTCCCGCCCACAGAAGACTGGAAGCGGTTGTGTCCAGGCTTTGGTCTGCACCAACATTCCTACGTTTTCTGCCAGGCTTTACTCTTCACTTGATAACACGATCCCCATAGTCTTGTTTTCTAGTCCAAATGTTTGCCGCCACAAGATGTCTAAGACACGATACCAAAAACACAGTCAAAGAACAAATTGATAAATTAGACTTCTTGAAATTTAAAACTTCTGCTCTTGAAAATTGTTGCCTTTAAAGCGAAGACATTTCCCCTTTCTGCACTCCAGAAATTACAAGCTGACAGGGTCTCTGATTGGAAAATGTTATTAGTTTAGAATAATTACGGGTTCTTTTTAGCAGTGAAATATCTCAGCCCATTTTTCCAACATGTGCAGGAATGAAAGTGTGAATATTTTTGATGTATCAACCTGACAGTTTATTTTCTTCCAAGGGAATCTTCTACAGATTCCTTACTCTTTTACCCTTTCCTTAGTAAAAAATTGAGAATTACCAACCTCCTCCACCCCCACCCCAACAATACCCTTTAGAAAGAAGGAATTTCAGGCAATTGCCAGTGATTAAGGAACTAAAGAAGGATTCTATGTCCTTAGATCTTCAGAAAGGGAACCAAAGTGAAATGAAAATGTTGTTTCTTCCCAACTCTTCCCAGAACTTAAAGCCATTTTGATTTTCTTTCTTTCTTTTTTGCTTAAAAGAGGGTCTAGGAGGAGGACAAAATTGTTCTAGTACTGAATTTAAATGGCTATCTCAGATGAAATAATTCACTGAATCTTTTCTGTGACAATTTGGTGTGTTGAGTGTTTTTTGAACAGGGTAGTTTAAGGAAGCAAATAGAATAAATAAATGTGTTCGTATGTAGGGAAAAGGAATGATCTAGCCCTGACCTGAGTTTAAGATAAAAGGAAGTTTGAGTTCACGCTGTGCATGCTTGGGTTTTAAGATGTATCTAAGTAATATCCAGCATAGCCACTGCTTTCTAAAACTTTGGTTTCTCTAAATAAAGAAAAAAGTTTCTCTGTCCATTAACTTCTTTAGCATAACACAAGTGGCTCTTCTGGGGACAAAATAAATTAATTACCCTAAAGATTTTTTTCTTGTTTAAACAGGCCTTCCCATTTATCGGTTTCCCCTTTGCTTGAGAGAGCAATTATCCATTCACATGCTCCCTGGATACCAGAGGCCACTTTAGTTAAAGACCTTGTCAACAAGCCACCCAAAGGGTTAACCTTCCAGATGGGACTTAAACCTACTCGTCCTTTTAATATTTCATTCCTAGCTCCCCACAGCTGAGGCATAAGCTTGGCTTGTTTTAATTAAATTAGATCGCACAAGACAGGTGTCTTGGCAGTAAAATTGTGCGCAGCCCATTTTTATCTCATTAACTGCAGTGCTCATCAAGGGTTTGTGTTTTTCTTTCTGAAAACTCTAGGTAAACCAGTAATGATCATAACAGAGTACATGGAGAATGGCTCCTTGGATGCCTTCCTAAGGGTATGTGCCTCCTTTATATTAAACCCAAGGATGTTGGTATTTAGAAATCTAACAGATTCCTTCTGTCCATTCTGTTTGGTGATATTCATGAAGTTTTTTAATTGCTGCAGCAAAGGAAGAAGAAAAGAAATGGAGAGTTATGTGATTTTTAAGGCTATTAAATAATCCATGTTCCACGAGGGCAGCATTTGATTTATTCTGGTATCATAGAGCCGTTTGAGCCACAGATTCATTACAGTTGGATAATTTCCATCTATCACAGGAAGCAAACCCGGCTTCCAGAATTCACTCTACTAGTGAATTAGTGACTTTGGTCAGAAAGGCCCGGAAATCGTGTTGAGTTTCATTGCATACTGGATACAGATATCAATAAAGATTCAAGTAATAAATGCTTGGTGATAATTAATTTGGCCTCATGCTAATAGGATTGTTCATCACTCCTTTCCTACGCAGAAGAATGATGGTAGGTTTACAGTCATTCAGCTGGTGGGCATGCTTCGTGGCATTGGGTCCGGAATGAAGTATTTATCTGATATGAGCTACGTGCATCGTGATCTGGCCGCAAGGAACATCCTGGTAAATAGCAACTTGGTCTGCAAAGTGTCTGATTTTGGCATGTCCCGAGTGCTCGAGGACGATCCAGAAGCAGCTTATACAACCAGGGTAAGGAAGGTTTGTGCCCTCTGGGTTTCACTCTGATGAAATTGTTCCTTTCCTCTCACTTTGTGGTTGTAAGTTAGAGCATCTTCCTTTTCCTACATCCATGTTTAAATCATTAAAAAGAGCGATTTTAAAGCTGACTCTAGATGTGTGACTGTATTACAAAGCCACAAATGTGAAGCAAAAGAAATTACTTTCCCCTCTACATTTTTTTTTTTTTTTATCAAAGTGCTAATGAACGGTAAGGGGCTGTCTTAAAAAATAAAAAGAGCTAAATAAGAAGGAAGTGTCAAGGGTATTTAAATGTATACAAAAGATGGTCAACTGATCTATTGCTGAACAAATCAGGAGGTCGTTTTATTTATTTTATATATAAGTATGGATATTTTATACTTAAGTTCGCCAGCCTGCCTGCCTTTCTTCCTTACTGTTTTAGATCTTCTGTTTGGATTTTTCTGATTCTTTAAAAAAATTCTTATTCTAAACAGGACAAAGCAGTGTTTCTAGTTGATTGGTTACCAGCTCTGGGAACGTACATGGAAGATGTATGAAGCATAGATGCTGGGCAAGTTTTCCCAGTGTCTCATGCCTTTTCTTGTACTCCTGGGAGATAAGCAGGGATCAGGCCCAGTGAAGAGTTTCAGGATCGAGCTAGTGGCTATGCTGTCTTCACAGGACAACCTGGATATAAAATTACTACTAGATAAACACAGAGTCATAAAGTAGTTACTGGTCATTAAGGCTAACACCGCTAAAATCAATAAGAACTAGACAGTGGCCGGCCGTTCCCCCCTTTAAAAAATTCATCATTTTGTCCCTGCAATCCTAAGCATTATTTTATTTTACTTTAGTTTTTGTTTTTTGATTGGTTGCTTGGTTGGGAGTTTGGGGGTAGGATTCTGTTTCTTTGGCTCTAATTTTGATTCTTATACATATCTTCTTTTAAGTTGTAAGTCCATTCGTTAAGGAAAGAAAACATCTTTGTAAATGTTGAAGATCTTTTATCCCCCCCCCCGCACCTCCCCTAGTTGGGGAAAGTTAAAGGAGGATTCTAGAATCACACATTTACTTACATAAAACCTTAACCACTTTTAAAAAGCAGAATGACCATGTGTCTTTTTGTATATAACAAGCATGGATATAATATGTATTTTCAGGTTGTACTTCACTGTATCAAAGCAATTCTCAGTACAATTTATTAGTCTGTGGGTAGGGCGTGGGCCCCATATACTGAGGGTGGCATGTTTCATCCTGGCCCTGGCCAAACTGCAACAACAAAAAAATAGCCAGGCATTCTGGCAGGCACCTGTAGTCCTAGCTACTCAGGAAGCTGAGGCAAGAGAATTGCCTAAGTCCAAGAGTTGGAGGTTGCTGTGAGCTGTGATGCCAGAGCACTCTACCAAGGGTGATAAAGTGAGACTCTATCTCTAAAAGAAAAAAAACATTAAAAGAAAACTTTCAAATGATGTCCATTTTGGGTAGCTAAAGAGTCTGAATTTGAGTTGAATTAATTTCCGCAGATAGAACTCTAGGAAATTTGAAACTTGATTAAAAATATCTCATACATAAACATACACAAGCAAAAGACATTTGCAGCTCAAAAAAGTGCATGTTAAACTTTTCCTGGGTAGTGTTCCATTACTTTACTGTGTTTACAGGTTTTAAAGAAATTAAATAAAAACTAAAATCCTCCCCTTCCTCTATTAAAATCAGTGATAGGTCTAGAATCTGATAGCATTTGACTTCCTCAGAGGGCCTATTTAGCATAATCCTAGTTATACTGGGCATGCCTCTTATACTATATTAGAGTAGGCAGACAGTGTCATGGATAGAGACTTTCATATTTAAATCCCCTCGGTCATGATTTCTGAAGCAGTAGTAAGCATTGCTTTTCTTTGTACTGCTGGGTGAGAGACTCCAGTAGGAAGTTGAAACCCATACCTACTACAGATCCATTGATATGTCATGGAAAACATATATACTTTGTCAAACCTGAAATCCTCTCTCTTCCACAATATTGCCTTAAGCAGAACTTGGATAATGGGTAGGCTTTTAAAAAATAATTGGACTGATTACTTATTCCCTTCCCTGGGACTAAAGAAAGCATGAGAATGGTTTCAACCTAGAAGACTTTAGTTAAGATGAACAAGTCACTTATTATTGTTTAGAGAGTTATATCAGGAATGCTCTTGTCCTGTTTGGCAACCAGTAACTACATTCAGAATTTAAAATGGTACATGGATGATGTACTTAGGGAATAACTTATGATTTAAATATTCACAGGGTGGCAAGATTCCTATCCGGTGGACTGCGCCAGAAGCAATTGCCTATCGTAAATTCACATCAGCAAGTGATGTATGGAGCTATGGAATCGTTATGTGGGAAGTGATGTCGTACGGAGAGAGACCCTATTGGGATATGTCCAATCAAGACGTAAGTCTCTATATTTGGAAATAGATGTACTTACATTGAGATTCAGAAAGGAAGTTCTGTGTTATTATACAGTGCAGTGAGTGTTGGATTTGAAAAGGTACGTTAAATTCAAGGCTCTTTTACTATGTCTAGTAGTCTAGTTCAAGCTTGTAACCAAAATGACCATATGAGGGTGTTGCCTGTGGCTCAAAGGAGTAGGGCACCGGCCCCCATATGCTGGAGATGGCAGGTTCAAACCCAACCCCTGACAAAAACTGGAAAAAAACCAAAACAAACAAACAAAGAAAATGACCATAGATTTCAAGGACCAAAATTAGATGGCCTGCATGGCACGGGACATGGGTAAACAGGTGCATAGAATGGTAGATAAACAATATGGAATGTTAATGAACTTTCAAAGTCATACTGAAAATTAAATTTTGAATTGTAGTAAACTGCAAAGATTATGTGAACAAAGTTCACATGTGATTAAATTGACATGAAAGGTTGGAAAGAAAACTAGTGAATATTTTAAAGCTGGCATAGTTGTAATTAGAGCTTGCCCCTTGAGGACTCTAAAATAAAGCTTCACTAAATGACCCTTTGTAAATTATGCACATCCCTTTAAATGTACCATCTGGACTACATCGTAAGGGAGTATCCACGATGCCTGCAATTTCAGAAAAGCATTCAATAATGACACTAATAAGATTCCAGAGTAATAGAATTTAATTACAAACATCTCCAGCGAGAAAGAAACGAACAAAACAAAACAGAAAAAGCTCTAGATCAAGGGCCTCCTTAGAGTATGTTTTAGCTAAATTTGGACAAGTTTTATATTAAATGGCCATCAATACTTTTTAAACTACTCTAATTTTTTTATGTATGAGCTAAAAGATTATCAGAGAGTGTTTACAAATGTACAGTATCCGGTTTATCAATTAGAATTATATTTTGGAAGGTCTTTCCAAGAATTCTCGCTGTTACCTAACCGTCTGCCTTGTCTTCTTGAAACAACGGGAATTTGCAAAGCCTTGGCAGTTGAAGGAAGAACGAGGTGTGCCTGAAAAGTAGCATGCAGTTCTTCTTATCAGTTAAAGACTATTCAGAGCAATAGAGAAACTAATGTTCTCCATGTCTAGTGGGGAGAAAGGAAATCCCTTCTTCCCAGATGAAAGGGAATGGTGGTGTTGAAACTGGATTATCTGTAAATTATAAGGGAAGATTCATAGCAGATGGGAAGAAAAACAGCAACTAGCTTAAGTGATAGATAATTACAGGCTGGAAAGAGACAGTAGAGGTGAGTGGTGTGTCATCTATTGTCTAAATGTGATCATGTTACACAGACACCTTCAAGGAGCTTCTTGTATCCACAGCTGGATTCAGGGTGGACTCTCAGAGGAACCAACAGTCTAAGGGACCAAGTGGTGCACAAGTTTACTTATTTCCTGCAATTATTTGATACTCAAGCTTTCCTTTACTTCAGTTGAGTTATGGCCAAATGCTCATAAAAGCGGAGTATCTAAAGATAAGCTTTCTCACCTCAAATATTTTCAGACATATAATTTTAACCATCTCTGTATATATTTAAACAATTTTGTTTTAAAGTCTCAGTTGTCTGACTGTATCCATGAAGAAGTGTCTGAAGCCATTCCTCAGTCACCAATAATATTAATCTATCATTTATCTCTGTGATGGATTCAGCGTAGAACAGAAACCAACAGGAACTGTTTCTGGAGAATTGCGTTCATTAGTAGAATTCATTTTTGGCATATGGTAAATGAAGTGAAAGTAACTGTTGAAAATATGTCAGACTTAGCAAGTTTTTTGTTTGTTTTTCTGCGCCTCCTCCCCCCCAAATAGTCAGCAGTAAACTCAGAAAATATGCTTTTTAACCCCTGAGTCATCTTCCAAGCTGGCGGCAGATAGGGAGCTATGAAGGAGTAATAGTCATTCCGAGGGTTGTAAGGCATCGGGTTACCCCGGCGTCAGAGCAGTGTTGCCTGCGTTCTTATTGGTTCAGTATAAAATGTTTTCATCTAGTCTGAAATCAACACCATGTACCTCAAAAGATAAAAGAAAACCGGAGGCTCAAACTAGTGTAATTGCTGGAAATAAATTGAATGAGGTCCAGTAAGACAGCATAGAGAAGTCTGCTTCAGAAGGAGAAGTCGATAATACAGATACAGGAAGATGTTGGTGAAGTACATGAGGGAAAAGGGTCAGAGCGCTTCAGAAGGCACAAGATATGCATGAAACTGAAGCCGAGCACTGATTTAAAAGACCAGTCATACTAATCCGGAGAAACTGACCAGTCGAATTCCCTGTAAGAGGCCAACTGCTCAGTGGTCACTAGGCCCACCTCTGGGTGAGTCCAGTGTGGTCACCGAGATGGTTACAACCACTGGCTGTTGCTCCAGCAACTGTCACTTTGGTAGGAACAGAAAACCGAAATGGACTGACTTAAAACATAAAACTTTTAAAACCCCAAACAAATAGAAACATCTCCGAAATCTCAGAAGATGCCCCAAACAAAGCCTGTAACTAACCAAGAAGGTATGAAGTGATTCTCCTTCGTAATTCTGGCATGTCAGATGGTGTTACTTTACTAGAATTTATAGCCCCTAGAAGGGAGGAATTTAGAGAACCCCCCCAAAATAATGCAATGCCGGTGAAGACAGATTAGAAAATTGAGAATGAGTGGAGAGATCTATGAAAGATTTATTTTTGTCTTATTAGATAATAACAGAACTCTGCTAGGCTTGGACAATAAGATAATTATCACCTACCATTATGATTTCCTTTCTTAGATGTGTAATGGTCCCCTTTAACATAGAAACACCCTTAAAAAAGGGATTTATTTTTTGTTGTTTTAAAAAAATCTATTTACTGACCTTGAACGGAGTCATCTGACAGCCTCCTGAGACCAAGAATGAAACACAGAATCACTGTGTGAGGGTAGAGTCTTCAAAAAGGGAAGCTGGCTCAGCATCTGGAGTGGGCTGTGATGTGGACCCGCTCAGGAACTGTCTGAGCAAGAAGACACAGGCTTACAATGACGCAAAGGGAGTTCCGTTTTGGAGACAACCACTAATTGCTTCCTAAGGGAAGTCTTTAGCATCAGGTCAGAATCTCTTTTGCTAAGATTGTTTAGGTGTGCTGACGCCGAACCACAGGATGGAGAGGACAGGGCCCGGGCCACGTCATCTCTGAGGGCCTGTGCCCAAACTCTGATACCACATGGCCGAGCCATTCAGGCTCTGACCTCTTTTGACAATGATGCATCTTTGCTTTGGAGTTTCAGGTTGGCATTGCTGGGCACTTGAGAACACCTCGTAGCAACAGCTGGCTTCCCTCTCTTGTTGCCAGCGATACTCTCTCCGGTCCAGCTTTGGCTTCTGAGAAAGAGTTGGAGCTGTTCCCATGCTTAAGCTCGCTGGCAGCTTAATGTACAAGAAACCTGCCAGCCTGGAGGGTGAACCTCCAACAGCAGCTTGCCTGGCAGCTGAACATACCATCCTGTTGTCTTCCATAGGTGATTAAAGCCATTGAGGAAGGCTATCGGCTACCCCCGCCAATGGACTGCCCCATTGCACTCCACCAGCTGATGCTGGACTGCTGGCAGAAGGAGAGGAGCGACAGGCCCAAGTTCGGGCAGATTGTCAACATGTTGGACAAACTCATCCGCAACCCCAACAGCTTGAAGAGGACGGGGACGGAGAGCTCCAGGTCAGCCGTGCTTACTTAATCATGATGTATGGAAGAACACAGCAGAGGTGGCAGGCGAGGGGTGACTCACTCTATTTTCTGCCTTTTTGTCAGTTCATGTCTCTCTGAAACCAGCGTGGTTTCTTTCTCAATCAGTAGAGTATTTAAGGTAGTTCTACCTTAAATAGTCACCAATTTGAAAACCTAATACCTGTCAGCCTCAAATAGTAGTAAGAGAAAAAAAGTATCTTTAAAAAAAAAACAGCAGGAAAGAAACGATGATGTGCTTAGATTATACGAGGCTGGACCTGAAATTTGGGAAGAGAGATGAAATGTACTTTTAGGAGACATTCAGATCCGTAGATGCTATATTTTGAAAAGGGATAATATCAAGTTACAAAACATGGAGAGGAATGTTTGAGAAGGGCTTTATAAATCTAAACGATCACGTCACCTATGAGGAAGTGTATCAGTCTATAAAGAACATGAAAATATCTTAAGTTCTATAATTCAGTGCTTATTGAGCTCCACTGACATAAAATTCAGACACCTAGATACCAGTCCTATCTGAAATTAAATTATTTAAGATGACAGGCATCATAAGGCCAGGTGACTCAGGCCTGCAGGAGG